AACAGCTATTTTCGTTAACTAATTCTTCAAAAAGATGATGGGATCAATATTTCTTTCCTTAATCGTATTATTTCAAAATAAAACTGAAAATATTGATTGAAGTAACGAAGAGCTAATCTACTTACTTCAATTAATATCACTTACTTTAAACGAATCTATCACTTCTCTTTCAAGTAAGTCCCTGAGTGGTTGTTGTTGAGCAGCGTGACTCAGTCGGCTAGTGGGCAGAAGATACGGAGTTCGAATCTCTGATAACGGCGGTCGCGTGATAGTCTTGGACAAGGTGCCTAATGCTCATCTCGGCACCTTTAGGCACAGATACAATAAGTAACCCGATTTCAGTGGCAATTGGACCAGATAGATGAAATTTAAAGTTTAACAAGAAAAGAAAATGATCCTAAGTAGTGATGATTACTCATTTTTCTCATATATTGAATAGTACAAGGCTTTCACCCTTCACAAAATTGACTGTCCTTAGTCGCGTCGAAATAAGAAGAAGTACAAGTGATTTTCTGAAACTTTTCGAAAAGGACAAAAAAGTTGAGTTTTTAACGAAAAATTTATTAATCACTTCTCCATTTTTAGTATTTTTATGTCCAAATATTTTAAACTGATGGTTATGTTCACTACTGCCTACGCGACAACATGATATCATTTTCATTATCTTTTGTCTAGAGAAAAATAATCTTATTGAAATGAGAAGCGATCTACTTCCATATGATGATTTGAAGTATCACTTTTGTAATCGGATCTTTGTAAACAGTAAATCTGTTAACAACGATTAGTTCAAAAATGTTAATCATTTCTCTTTTGATCATTTTTTTTCTGCTGTTAATTCTCTTATAAATCGTCAAGTGGGTGTTGCTAATCATCATAATCTCATTTTGGTAGCTATTGATGACGTAATATGTATATTCATAAAAATTCGATTTTTTTTTTTTGCTCAACAACACAAACAAAAGGTAGGTGTGCAAATAGAGAATAAAAGAAATTAACTTAATTATAGGTAAATTTCCATTATTATGTCTTTTTTTCTTTTTGTGAGTATTACGTAAGATTAATCACGTAAGAATTTCTTTCCTTCTCTACTTTTATTAATACATGCAAATAGACATCAAACAGATAGAGAAGTTTATAAAATTTCTCTTGCACTATAGTGATGTCTACAAGTATGTGTATTTTTTTCTTTCGTTCTTTGTATCTTTCAGGGACAGAAAAAGTGAAGAATGGCATTCATATGCGATGAATCATCGCTGTCTACGCTTTTTTTTTTATAAATTTTTGGTTCTGTTTTTCTTTCTTTCTTTCATTCACTAACATTGACATGGTATAAATACTCCTCTTACATCTCATTCTCATTGTTAAATATCGTTCGTGTAAAAGACATACTTCATTTTATTACAGATTTATTTATTACTTCAAAATTGGATATATTCGTCAAATCTATTAAAATGCGCGGTAGTACAATTAATTCAAACGTGCTGACGTCATGTATTGGACTACAACAAGCAATTACGACAAATCGTGATGAATACCGACCTAATTCATATACGGGCAAAAATTTCTATGAGGACGACAATTATCGATCTTGTCTCGATTTGCTGGATGGCGGTAAGTTGCTTTATACTTATTTCAGATAATAATCCTTCTTAGATAGTTTGTCAATGGACATATCTTTTTATAAAGTAACCTGAATCAATCAAATTTTATCTGAGTCTAACGCATCAAATGGGAAAGTAAAATGAATAAATAGTCTATGATGTTACATACAAAGAACAATTATAGTTAATAGTTGTCGCATTGTGACACATTTTATAAATTGATAATAATTGTTTCCTAATCTGTCGCCCATTTTCTATAAATATATAGATGAGAGAATAATTTTGAACCGAAACGAGTCAGATGCCCTTGATATTTTTAAATCTGTATTGTTCTTAACATGTTGATTACTTCTATTTTAGGCTATGAAATATCTCAAGATCTGATTGAGATGATGGATAGTTACTGCGAAATATATCGTCAGTTTTCTCGTAGTTTAATGTCATTCAGTGAAAATTGGTGTAAACGTATTCAGCGGCAGAATACGCTATGTTCTTATCATACGACAAAACAAGCTCAATTGGAAACTATTAAAACGGCAAAAAAAATAGCCGTGATCGAACAAAAGCGTATTGGTAACATTCAAAAAGTGGTCGAAAAATATAGAAAAATTGTCGATAACACATACATAACCACTCGTTTCTCGTCTCATCAACATCGTCGAACAAAAGAATTCAAGAAACAATTTAAAGCAGCTTATTCAATATTGAATGACTGCAAATCAAAATTAGACAACCTAAAACAAGAACAGAAAAAAG